AAGATTCGCGACTCAAGAACTCAGTATACATAACCGATTTATAAATGCCACAAAAAGCCAGCATGTCGTATACGTTGCTAAGTACTGCCGCAAATTCACAATATCAGCTTTGTACTCCTGTGGTTTAGTAGCATTTTTATTTTTGGCCGGAATGTTTTTTTATTCGCCCGCGCGCACTAGTTTGGGGGTTCGTTCAGAGGATGTCATCCATAAAATTAAATCGGTGTGGCCTTAGTACAGTAAAGGTTACGGCAAGAAGTATGAAAAACAAGTTAAGGTTTCCACTCACCGCTGTAGTAGTGCCCAGACGCGGTGTCAGCTCAAACACTGGTAGTTTGCAAATGTCATGCAGGACCGTTGGACTGGTGAATATATGGTTTACATCTAAATTAAGGACCTGTGAGTAGCTTAACATGTTTTTAATTAGAAAATTGCCCCCGAAAACATAACAATAACAATTCTGTAACACAATCACTCCCCTCAATAAGCCTTAAAGTGGAAAATCTTTCTTTGAAAGAAATCCTTCTAATTCGTTTACACAACAGGTAAACCAATGTCTACGTTAATCCTATATTGTTCCAAGGCAACTCTTTAGTCAACTATAAATAGCATTTGTAGTCATTGGCAACAGGTGGCAAATTAAAGATAATAAAGCGTCACTTTTTTTAAGTTACCATGACAAATAAACGAGGACTGATGGCCTCTATTGAAATGCATGTTGATGAGAATCCCATTAGTGCGGTAACCTGGCAATGTCCCTAAACTTCAGGCTGGTTTACACTTGTTCTACGACTGTGTGTAAATTTTATTATTCCGCTAAAACTACGGGCTTACGAAGAACTCATATGTCCAACGTGGAGAATATCGAGGGTGCACAGGATTAAAGGCATCCAAGTCAGTTTTAGGGAATGGAAACCCGATTTTTCAAAGTCAATATTCTAGTCACCTATCTGCATATTGGGTTGAAACCACACTATACCAATGTATGTTACCCTCATAGAGAAAGATACCGAGAATTCTGGCAGAAAATGGTTACTGGAAGGGCCCTGGGCTGATTTTCAGGGTACTACCCAGAAAATAAAGGAATTATCCTGGGGCTTCTTTCTGCGGTTTAAAATACTCAAAGTCTAAAATGCTGACTCAATGTGCTAATGTGAATCAGTATGTGTCAATATCACAAAGATTGCCTTATTCAGAATTTTTCCAGTTTTGCTGCTCTGAAATCACACTGGAACACGACATTTTAGCGAGACCTTGACAACTTAAAGTACTTAATAAAGATCGAGAAATGATTATAGTTACGAAATGCTACGTATGTACTACAATTGAAACACAGACTCAAATGTAAGTTGCCCAATTGTAACAACAGACCCAGCGCTAACGGCTACTCCTCAGCTATTTTCCACCACCTACATCACAACCTGGGTCAATCTTTCAAACTTTCAACCCCACCCTCAACAGGGAGGGGGCTACGGGTAGACCTCTCAGGCACTTCGGATTTGGCACTCCCAGCCCCGAGGACAGACAACACTTAAGCTCCTGTTCTGCAACAACAGGAGTTCTTTTACTAATTTTCATTATCTTGTCTTGACTTGTCCTAACTTTGTTTCCTTTTGGACTTCAAAAAATTGTCTTCACTTATTTGCATATCAATCAATAGTTCGTGCTTATAAACCTGCATTTCTCCTCTGATCTCTCAATTATTGACGAAAGCTAGTGGATACTACCTGAAACGTCTGACCGTTTCCAAAATCATATCCAGTTGCTTGAGTAACTGGGTTTTTCTTGCCGTATTTCGTTACCTGGATATCTAACTTTCACCGACGGGGTGATCGGTGTCGATGAAAGAAGAATTTGATGTCAACAAGGCGCTGGTAACATTGGCGGGCGGACGTGGTGAGATATTAGTTGTTGCAAATGTTTGAGATTAGATACAATCTAACGCAGGTTTTGTGAGTAGTAAAGTGGTGTATGCTTAAGTACGGGACATCGCCGGAACGAAGGACATTCTATCACCGTGTAATGAAAGCTTCTTGCCGGGACAGACCTCAACCTGCTCGGAAACGCCGACGCTTAAGGTTTCGCGCCTCACAATGTAAACACTTCCGGGTTGAACGAGCCAAGGACATTATACAGGTCTTTGAACGAACGTAAATTATGTGGAAAAATACCATAAATCCGCAAATAGATTGATATTTTCCCCCAAGGTTCTTTGAATTGTGCATATTGTCACAATATGTGGGTATGCAATCGTGGAAAACAGCGTTTCATGGCATGTTTTTAAACAAAAAAAAAAAATTGTTTCCGTGCGCGCGGTTACGGGAGCATGGTATCTTCCTATATATGAAAATGTACTTCATAAATATATGCAAGATTAATGCATACAAAAAATACATACGTTCGTACATTAGACCACACCGATTTGATTTTATGGATGACATCCTCTGAAGACCCCCAAACTAGTGCGCGAATGAACCAAAAAAAATTCCGGCCAAAAATAAAAATGCTACTAAATCACAGGAACACAAAGCTGGAATTGTGAATTTGGGACAGTGCGTAGTGACGTATTCGACAAGCCGGCACATGCTGGCTTTTTGTGGTATTTATTTATCGGTACTGCGCTCTTATGTACTTTGTTTTTGAGTCGTGGGGCTTCGATAGCTGGGTGCCCGGCTCCGTATTGTCGCTAACTACCATGGACTACCCAGGCCTAGAGCCAGGCCAGACCCTCGGTGGACGTGATTAAAATACAGATGTTTTGGGGGTAATCATGAGGTCTGTTTATGTTTTCGTATACTGCAAATCTAGCACCCCGTAAACCGTTCATCATTATCACAAATTTTAAAAACACTATAAACTGTATCATTTGTAGTACAGTGTCCTGTACTTAAATTTGGAAGAAAATCTGCAACTTGGAAAACTGTCCTACGTTTTACATTCTGGTACCCCCTGATCCTGAAATAGCCGAAAGTAACTTACTAGTAAATTGTGTGCCAAATGAATCTGTTGTACGTACATGAGGACTTCTAGGATGACCTCATGATTAGCACCAAAACAGTTGTATTTTAATTGCATAAAGCATTCAATAGAACTTGATAGATACAGCATACGAATACTGTAACGATGCAAAATGTATTGGCATACCCTGATTTTGTGGGGTCATGTGGCGTAGCGGCAGAGTGCGCGACTCGGAACCGAGAGGTCCTGGGTTCGAGTCCTGACATGCCACCGATATTGAGCACTTAGGAAAGGTACTTTACACGACTTTCCTCACTTCGCTCAGGTGAAAATTAGTATTGTCCTGTCATGTATCTGTCCCCTGTGTTGGTGGCGGCATTGATATAAGTTAATAAAACTTGAGTGTGCCGTCACCACGTCTGGTGATTACTAAAAATATAGGAAGGGCTAACTATCATATGCTACTACCTAACTCTATTAATATCAGAGGCAATTGAATGTACAAAAATAACTGCATCTTTAGTGCTACCCCTGATTATCAACATAATAATTGTGACAATCTGTACCTGCCAGGCAGCATGCCAGGTATAGAAGACCAATTTTCGAAAGGCTCATTTTGTTCTGTGTTTTCACACCAACTTGCCCAAACACGTCAAATAAAGGTAACCTTTAACACAATCCAAATCTAAAGGGGAAAATCCAATTTATTCCCCTTTTTTCGTCTTAGATTTTGAAATCTTAAGACGACAAAATCTTGAATGCAAAGCTTTTCAGACTGTAATAACAAAAATTAAAGACATTACGAAGTTCAAAAAGACCATCATAGTGGCTTAGATTTCTGGGGTTAGCGAGGGAAATTCCCTCGTATGGTCAGGTACAAGTTATATTTTCTGTTTTAGCCAGCCACCATAGGAGGGAAATTCCCCCTTTGACCGGGCACAACGGAGAGTTTCTGTCTTAGACGACCAAGAGGGAACTTCCCTCGGCCAGGCCGAGACGAACGGTGTTCATGCACGAAGTCCGTCACTAGCGGTGTGCCTTGCAAGGTGACACACGAGGGAAGTTCCCTCGCATTGTCTTCATGCACGAAGTCCGTCACTAGCGGTGTGCCTTCCCAAGTCACACACGAGGGAAGTTCCCTCGCATGATGTTCATGCACGAAGTCCGTCACTAGCGGTGTGCCTTGCCAAGTCGCACACGAGGGAAGTTCCCTCTCGACACGAACGGGCTTCTTGCGTGATGTCCGACACGAGGGAAGTCCCCGCTACCAGGCCGACACGAACGGTGTTCTTGCGTTAAGTCCGGCATCAGCGGTGTTCCTTGCCAAGTCAAACACGAGGGAAGTTCCGTCGACCAGGCCGACACCAGCGGTGTTCCAGCGCGAAGTCTGTGCAGGCCGACTAAGGCCGACACGCGCGTACTGTCAAGTCCGCCTGAAGGGAACTTCCCTCGCCGAGTCCACCAGGAAGGGAACTTTGTCGCGATGTCAAACATGCCGACACAAGTGGTGCATGTGACGCTCTCGTTAGGCACAAAGGCCTGCGGCGTGATCCCGGGAAAGTGGACAGCCAGTACCGTGTCGACATGTCACGTGTCGTCTTGAACTTGGCCTTTAGATCCCTGACGTGGTTTAGGTCGGGGTGACGGTAAAGCCGCCTCCAATTCGGGGAGACCGTTCTGTCCACCGGTATCTCGAACTTCCCTACAAACAAAATACAACATAACTTAATTAGTAAACTTAATCAAAGTCTGTAAATATTACACAGACCCATCCTCACATGTTGCAATGTGGTGGTAAAATAAGACGATGCAAACTTACCGACAAAATGCCGCTTTTCCACGCCACTGTCTGCCACTTCCGGTGCACCTGTTGTTGCTTCGGTCACGGAGGAGCCTTCTGCAAAAACGAGAAATCACGCTGAAACCTACCCTGTCCGGTGTAGTTCTCTTCTTACAACAGATTATTAGCACAAAAATCCCGTTTGTCATAAGGCCATGTGGATTTGATTTTATGGATGACATCCAGGCACGCATGAATTTTTCCAAAAACAAATTCTCGACCATACTGTAATTCGTACAAATGAGCGAATATATTTCGCATGTTGCAAAAAAAAAAAGGATTGGAAAACGATGCTAATGTCAGAGAATGCCGAAGTCAATTCAGGAAAAGAAGAAAATGTGAAGAAATTAAAATGAAGAGTCTACTATTATTTGCCATACCATATTCTGTTTGTTTAGTCCCTTGTTCAAGCTTTATGACCACGAAGATTTCATAATGAAGGAAACTTTTTTTTTGCCAAGCTTTTTTTTATTTGCACGCTCGCATCAGTTCTGGTGTTCCCTGAGTATGCCGTCCATATAATCAAATCAACATGGCCTAATGAGAGCTGAAGCGGTAAGGCCTCGGGACTCTTCATTACACGTTGGGTGGGGGGTAGGGGTACGGAGGTGTTCACAATGCCAATTTAGTAGGAACGGTTACGCTTGACCATAGATCCAGGAGGAACGACAATGTGTTCGATGAGAGGTTTGGGGTTCGAGCTTGTTTTACATGTATCCTTGAATGCCTAGCAGAACTATTTTGAGAATGATCCATTTAGGCTACACAAAATGAATAAAACAAACCAACATTTAGGTCAAAATAAAACTACAAAGACAATGAGATTTTGACGATCAATATACCAACCTCGCCGTGTAACTTATTTCACATGAAAAGCCATTCAGACTATTATCCACGCGAGATAGATAAAGAAAGCTGGGTTTCTTTAGCGTGGGAAGATATCATGGGAGTTTGGAACACTAGCCTCCGAGATGACGGGCTCGTGTTACAACTTACAGTACACACAGGAACTACCCTACCCTACAGCGCACAGGGTGATATTATTTCCTTGCGAGAGAAAAACACATCCCCTACCCCCAACGCGAGAGACAATCAGAGGGCAGGAGAAGGCACGTGCCTGACCAAGTTTTTTATCACAACAAACTACGTAATCAGTGAGTTCATCAGTTCATCCCGGGTAAATGCCGTTACACTTACAGCGACTTAACTAGTTAAGATCAGTTAAGTTTGACCAGTACACATGGTGAACAATTCCCACCCCTTTGTAGACTGAACAACAACATGGATTTCTATGAGTGTGCGGTTGCCATGTAGGTGGGGAACGACGTGTTACTTCAATGGTGGACTGTTAAACGCATTAAAGTTAATCACCACTGACCACTGTTTTCTGATCCCGTTCTGTTTGTTTTCCTAATGCCATGTGGTTCTCATACCATTGCCCTCAGCTATGGTTGGAAGTGTCCCACTTCCCCAAAGAACACAGATCTTTGTAGTGGCACTCTGTAGTCACACTGAGTGCGTAGTCCAGTGGTTAGCGATCCTGCCTATGGACTAAGAGGTTGGGAGTTCGAATCCCAGCTGATGTCGCTCACCCGACATGCACGCTACTGTTTAGGGTCGCAGTCCTTCGGACGGGACGTTAACCGTGGTCCACTACACTGTTCATTGTGCTTGTCGAAAAGAGCTAGGGGAATTTCCCCGGTACAATGAACCTGTAAATACTGTATATAGCGTCTGTCTTCTCTGTCACGACCAGTGGAAGATTAGCTCTTCAATGAGCTAAATGGATCGAGATCACTTTCACTTTCACTACACTAGTCTGACACCCTGGTCAGAACGGATCCCAGATCTAGATATTTACCGACCTCTATTAAAACTTATATAAGGGGGGGTAGCATCTCTTCAGAGGCATGCTGGTCCTAGAATCGAGGAGCCGGCCTGTACAGGCCCTGAAAGCAGTATAGAACAGTCTAGCATCCCGGCTAAAGTTCTCCAGTAATATTATGTAAATGGCCCATATTTTAAACCCTATACATTTAAAATCGTGCATATGCCGACGTACGTACGGATTACTATTAACTAATTTTCTTCACATGTTGCGTGTGTTGGCCCTGAAGCCGAGGAACTGGCTTGCATACACCCTGGAAACAGTCTGGAACCCAGACTAATTGTCGCTGGCTACCACATGGTAGAGACAGCCGCAAATAGGAAACCGGGCGTAAGCAAAAAGGGACTAACCGTTAGTCTACCTCTAGCCTGGCATAGACGGGGTATGTACATAATCAGCAAATGAATCAGTTCTGTATCAAGTTTGAGAAACTTGATGTACCTCTCATATGATTTTCTACCATGGTACCAGTATACTCCCGTGGTATGAAGGACAACACCCGACCACCATGAATAAATCATGTTGGAAATTTCATAAATATATCCTACTCACCTCAGCCAAACGTCTTTGCTTCCAAAACATCCTCGATGGTTCCCAAACCGTCTCCGTCATTCACCAACGCAACTTTTCCATCCTCCTTCCAAATCCACCAATGCATCATGACATTTTGTTGTTGTTGTTGTTGTTGTTGTCCTTGTTTAACGTCTATTATGTCGCTAGACGTGGTCTCTAGGTGCTCAGTTTTTCACTTGGTTCAGTTCAGAGTCAATGATCTCTCTAGGTCTTAACACTTGGTGACTCGTGCTTGTGTGAAGCGGAGAGAGTTTCTAGGAGAGCACGTCAAATCGGCGCGTACTCTCGATGTACCGGGAGAGGGCTAGGTACATCTGGTTGTTTGCTCCTTCAGGAAGTCCTACTCTCATTCCGGCCAGTGTGACGATGTCCGTGTCTCTGTCTTCCTTTGCTGTGTTGTAGGTCTCGTGAATGTTGTCTGCTTCCATCAGCATGTGATGCCTTTCGTTCTCATAGCGGGGGCAGTGGTACAGGTAGTGGTTGGTGGTCTCCAGAGCGTCGCAGTTTGGGCAGTATGGTGAGACTTCAGGGTTTTTCCAGTTCTGGTACGCATTGAGTCTGGTGTGCCCGCTCACCAGCTGGTTGATGGTGACTTGTGTGCTTCTTCTACCAAGTGCTCTGCCTTTCTTCTTCATGTTTGTTCCTATCTTCAGCATGTGTTGACTTGTCGTGTTGAGTTCTGTTCTTCTATCCCATCTCTCATGTGCTTTTGTTTCAATGTGTTTCATGGCTTGATGCTTGGTCCA